CATATGCACTGGCCAAAAGTCCCATTTAAGAAAGAGTGTTTCATAACGCATTGTTTTGTTGCCTATAAAATAGCAATCGCCAGAAACTGGAAAAATAATCAGATTAGTATGGGATTTAATTAAAGAACAAATAAGGATCCAGATTAAAATGGAAAGAGATATAAGCATTCCCTTCTTTAACAATCCGAAAAGAAATGAGCTATGGCAGCAATGGGTAAATGAAATATAACAGGTTAACTATAAGACCCCAGCTCCTGAGCGAGAGGATAAACTCCCTGTCTTTCCCCTCAGTGTCTGCAGACAACAGTTAATTGTAGATTTGTATAAATATTGAAGATAACTACATTTGATGAATTGTATTTTTGTACTGTTTGTGTTTTATATTGTCTTTGTGAATATTTGTGTAAAAACTAATAAAATAATTTATATTAAAAAAAGAGCTAACTCCAATTCCCACTAACCCTAAACAGCCTTTAACACTAACTCTAAATAAACATCCTTTAGCACTAACTCTAAGTCCCACTATCCTTAACTCCTTAAGGACACATGACATATGTGACATGTCATGATTCCCTTTTATTCCAGAAGTTTGGTCCTTAACATGTATAAACTCACTGAACCTATCTTACTGCAACCTTGCTATGTAAGTGTCATGTTTGTCCAATAGTGTCACGGTTAATGGCATTGTAATTCTGATGTTTTCTTATAAACACAGCAACATTTCCAAGTTACTAAAGTAAGAACATTATAATGAAAAATAATTTTTCAAGCAAAAAAAAACTTTTTTTTTTTTTTTTTTTAGGGAATTCCCTGTTTCTCAGAGCAACAACATATATCTGGTAAAACACAGAGGGAAGTAATAATGGTGGGACATGCAGCTTAGCTCCACCCCCCTGATCCCTCATTTCCCAGAGGGTTAATGACATGTCTCTACTGTATGCTTTCTGTGGGGCACCAGTGATCCACTGTAGAATGATCAAAGATAAGAGAGTTTGTGCAAAAGACTGACTTTCAAAATAAATCAATAAATAATCAAATAATTACAATTAATTAATTGAAGAAAATAATAAAAAATTGGTTTGTGCAGAATACATAAAAAAATGTAGAAAACTATTTGCATTGCTTTTGTGCACTGTCATTACCAATGTTTTCCTTTGTTTTTCCTGAATAAAAAATTGAATTAGTTTAAAACATAGTTGAAAAGACTTGTGGCTGAAAAAAAGGTGTTACTGTCCCTTTAAACTGCCACCTTAACTAACACTATGATGTAATGATGCTTGATGTAATCAGTATCTATTGCTCAGCACAGAGCAGCACTGGTCACTTTCCTTGGTTGGTGTGATAGATTCGGTTTAGCTCCTTATTGTTGGGCTAATCCTTTAGCCTGCTTGGCCAAGGATCTTTGATATATCAAACAAACACAAGAAGACGTCAGAGGACAGCTCCTCTTGGGCGTTCCTCTTATCTTGTGGCTGAATACAACTGAGACCATCACTGATGGCTGCGAATATTCTGAAACCCAAGCCCTCGAAAATGTAAGTAGGAGAGATCATGGATAAATAGTCTGAATATTGTAATACATAGCACAATGTTACTGAAATGAATGTGGCTCCCATTCACTATGATCCTTATTGCCATCCTGGCCAGACACAGCTGGAGGGAACACGGCCATAGGTAGTAAACAGTTATCTAGGTCAGTATTTCTCAACCTTTCTAACCAAGTAATACTAGTGATAGGTCATTTCCAGCCAGGTTCTCCAAATGTAACCCTGTTTGCGAACTTTTACCCCAATGTCAACATTTACTGGTCAATGTATCTCAGCCAGAGATGTGATAGGTGCCAGAATGGACAGATACATGGTCAGATAAAAGAAGACACGCTGTGTTATAACGATCATATATAACAGGGGGCCAAGTTATTCCAGGGAATTATACAATTTCCTTTTTCTTTGTGTATTTTATCTGGTTTTTAAACTCTGTTCAGAAGATAGAAATTCTGAATCCTAACGCCATCTGTTCACTTTCAGGGCTAGTCTGACCTGGTCAGAGACCGTGGGTTGGAGTGTGACTTCTCGGTTAAAACCACGAGAAATTAAGAGACAGGAGGCGATACACGGTAAGTGTTACAATGATTATACACCTAGAATAAAGTGTGAATGGTCGGGTGTGTGTACCTGGGACATTTTCTTATCCTACATATTTCCAGATATTTTCTTTATAAACAAACCCAGGAGATTGCTTGAGGGCACCAGAGGGACGTACGGTGCCTGATGTTACTAAACTCTGCAAAGAGACACTTTATGCCATCTATGTGGAAGGGATGGCACAGGGGATAATCAATGGCAAAGCTCCAGTCTGTCCTTGTTCTAATCACTTTATTGCAAACACCATGTATTTTTATACGTCCTGCTTATTACCATATAAAGGGACAGTGTATTATATCTTATTACATGGTAGTGTTTGTGCCTGGAAGCAAATTATATTATGTAAACACACAAAATTAAGTCCTGTACTCAAACTCCCACTACTCCTGGTCTGCAGCAATAATTAAAATACACATCAACACCCGATACATAGAATAAAGAAAAAAAAATAAAAAAATTAAACATTACTTGTGCACTATCCCAAATCCCTATGCACATTTAAATAACTGGAGGTTTTTAGTAGCCAATGGTCTTTCAAGTGTAAGCTCACCTGCCAAGTCAATGCAAATCTCTTAGGTGGGTCTTACACTAAGAATTCACCTTGCTCCATTCGGCTAAAAGATAAAATCTCTAATGAGATGGAAAGGGTTACATTATGTGACAATGAGTTACAATGTCAGTCAATGTGTTATCATATTAAATGGTGAGAAAGTGGGATATACCCCATTACACTGCATGCCTGGGGGTTTTACAGCCTTATAAGAGCATCAAGGTAACTAACTGCGCAGATTGTGCCCCAAAACACACATTCCCTAAACTATTGATCTATTGATCTTTTTGTAACAAGTTGCTTTGGTGAACACAGATAACTGTATGACTCACAGTGATTGGAGTGGTCTGGGCGCCAACTCCCACCACCCTTAACCCTGCAAGTGTAATTATTGCAGTTTTTTATAAACTGCAATAATTACCTTGCAGGGGTAACTCCACCTCTAGTGGCTGTCTAGTAGACAGCCACGAGAGGGCACTTCCTGCTCTATAGCACAGAAAACCTGTGCTAGAGCGCTGCTGGACGTCCTCACGCTGTGTGAGGTCCTCCAGAGTCGCTCAATTCCCCATAGGAAAGCATTGAAAAGCATTTTCAATGCTTTCCTATGGAGAGCTCTAATGCGCATGCGCAGCATTGCCGCGCATGGGCATTAGGCCTCCCCAGCTAGCGGGCGGGATCAGTCTCGTCCAATGGCCGACGTAATGAAGAGGAGGAGCTGCAGCGGAGGAAGAAGCAGTGACGTGGGACATGTCGCTGCCTCTGGTAAGTCACTGAAGGGGTTTTCACCACTTCAGCAACCAGGGATTGGGAGGTGGGTGGGAGAGGGGACCTGCAGTACCAGGAAAACGGATTGTTTTCCTGGCACTGGACAGTCCCTTTTATAGGAATCACTAGAACTTCCGCAGCCTTCATGTCGCATGGAGGTTTGTAATTCAAGTCTGGAGTTCTTAATATGTTTTCTTTCAATGGTTTTATAACTTGTCTTCCCATAATAAAGTAATTCCAGGCAGCACTGATCATGTTAAATACATTCTCCTATTTCTGCTCTAGAACTCTTTGTGACTGAAGAGTCCCACCTTCGTGCTCTCCATGTTCTGGACTCTGTATTCTACCAGAAGTTAATCAGCGAGGCATTGCTGTCTCCGGATGAAGTGAAGCTTGTCTTCCCTAACCTGCCACAGCTCATTAATATCCACAGTAAGATATGGAACATTTCTAATGTATGCAGTAAAACTAAATAAATGCCCCAAGTGAAGGTGAATGTTGTGAGTGGACTGATAGAAGGTTAGGAACCCATTTATAGGGACTCTGTGTACTAAATATGACACCACTTATATCTGAAATATATTTCTTACTTTTTCATCATTATCTTGCAATTACATAAATTGTTATGGGAAATCGTAAACATACATTTCTTTCTCTGTCTTTCTGCTGACTAGCAGCTCCTCAGCTGCCAGTCTGTCATTTATTATGAAGCCATGAGAAAAACTCAGTGAGCCCAAAATTGATCAAATGAGGTGTTCAAATTGGTGGCCTCCGTCTCCCTTTAAAGAACTAATACATTCATTATTGATACATTCGTTATAGTGTCCTTTTAATAAACCAAGAATTAAAAATGAAATTCACAAAGTGCTGGGATCCATACTTACCACAAAGGTATCCTGACTGTCCACAGTACTTGATACCATAGATTAAATAAAACAATGCCAGGCCATTCGGGGAAATAAGAGGAATTCCTCAACTGGAGAATGGCTAGACTGTCACAACTAGGCCTTTTGCTGTCCCTCATTTTCTGTTTGTAGTCTATAAAACCAGAGTGGTCAGTCTTCTACTGTCAGCCAGTCATAGAGACATTGAATTTATGAGTCACCTAGGTATGAGCAACTACCTCTTAATGTTAACATTGTAAAGCGCTGCGGAATTTGATGGCGCTATATAAATAATAACATAATAATAATAATAACAATGGAACATGATATCGGTAAACTGCAGCCCACTGTGAGGATTTACACAAAATGCAGACTATTGCAGCTCATAGGGCACACATCAAGCAATGAAACACAGTATGGATTGTTTATCAGGATGGCACTATAAATACTGCGCTATAGAAGATGTAAATCCTTCTCTCCTATGATACTCACATCTCTTCTCCTTCCCACCAGACTCCCTGTTGGAATCCATGAAGCAGGTGCTTGTAGGTGGACTTTATGCCAAAGAAATTGGTGGAATCCTACTCTCCCACGTGAGTACTAAAAATCTGAAATACTGTCATACAATATCAGTTACCTATTGAGAAAAACATATAAAAAGTCTTCCATTGATGGAGTATGGGACAGAATGCCCTAGCTGTGAAATACGTCTGAAGTATTTCTTCTGCAGATATTAACAGCAACATTACAATAGAGGGACAGTTTTCACTGATATTGTGTAACTTCTGTCACGAAACCATTAAGGAAGAATTCATGAGAATTCCACAGAGATGTATCTGGATTTTAGTACCTGAGGTTGAGTTGTCTTTGCACCCCCCCCCCCCTCATAATTTTACATGTGTGTATTACCACAACCACTGTGTGTGTCTCTTCCACCTTTTTTTCTCCTGTTGTCTTTATTTAGCCACGTCAACCACCATGTGTCTCCTAATCCTCATGTTCATGTCTTTTGACCCCTTTATCTCTAAACTACCCTCACCTGCATATATGTCCCTTGAACTCCTACACCACCTTGTTTGTCTCTCCTAAACTGCCTCATACCCTTTTACATCTCTCTGACCCTTATTATCTCTACAACCACCTACTACCTCTGTTCCCTCCATTATCTGCCACCTGCATGGATTGTAGCATGTCCAGGGAAAATGCAGCTCAGGGTGAGCAGGTGAGGGCAATAGGTAGAAAGGAGGGTATAATGTTAAGTCCCTGTCCCTTCCTCTCATACTGCATGTTATGAACTCTGAGCAACACTGAAAGACCTTGCAGAGTAGTATGAATAGACTCCGGTACATACAATGCGGAGCCAGGAGGGGGATACTATCTGAATGCCTCTCCCAGCTGTCACCTGAGATGGACCCTGTCCCTTCGTACATTATTGGAATTTGGTAACTCAATTTTATGGTAAGGAAGGTTCATCTATTGACCTTAGCAGCAAGTCCTTCAGAACATAAAGATGCTGATAACACAATCTTTTCTTTATTTCTCTCCTACTCCTTCTCCGTGTTAACATTACACTATCTCTTGATTGTCTGGGTTTTCTAGTTTGACAGAGCTTCTGATGACATAGTGAAGGAAACAGTGAAGTTTTGCTGTAACCAGATCTCTGCGCTGAAACTGATTAAGAGCAAACAGCGCGAGGACACCAGGTTCAGGAGATTCATGCAGGTACTATGCCTACCATCAGATAGAGAGATCCCTATATGTTTTACAATACGCCTTCCCTTCTTTCCTACAGGACTTAGTTGGACCTGATAGTTTCCAACCATTGTTAAGTAGATGATACATAGTGCTATAGGTTTACAATGTTACATGTCACTGTTCACCAACTTCCGTAGGCCATACCAGTGAATGTCTGCCAGCACACTGCTTTGTAATTTCAGTGGAGTTTTATAAAGCCATCAACTCAATAACATGATAATATTTTAACACGTTTGGGTGTCTTCAACGAGCTACAAGAGTTTAGAAACATAGAAACATAGAATTTGACGGCAGATAAGAACCATTCGGCCCATGTAGTCTGCCCAATTTTCTAAATACTTTCATTAGTCCCTAGCCTTATCTTATAGTTAGGATAGCCTTATCCCTATCCCACGCATGCTCAAACTCCTTTACTGTGTTAACCTCTACCACTTCAGCTGGAAGGCTATTCCATGCATCCACTACCCTCTCAGTAAAGTAATACTTCCTGATATTATTTTTATACCTTTATCCCTCTAATTTAAGACTATGTCCTCTTGTTGTAGTAGTTTTTCTTCCATTAAATATAGTCTCCTCCTTTACTGTGTTGATTCCCTTTATGTATTTAAATGTTTCTATCATATCCCCCCTGTCTCGTCTTTCCTCCAAGCTATACATGTTAAGATCCTTTAACCTTTCCTGGTAAGTTTTATCCTGCAATCCATGAACCAGTTTAGTAGCCCTTCTCTGAACCCTCTCTAAGGTATCAATATCCTTCTGAAGATACGGTCTCCAGTACTGTGTTCAATACTCCAAGTGAGGTCTCATCAGTGTTCTGTACAATGGCATGAGCACTTCCCTCTTTATACTGCTAATACCTCTCCCTATACAACCAAGCATTCTGCTAGCATTTCCTGCTGCTCTATTACATTGTCTGCCTACCTTTAAGTCATCAGAAATAATCACCACTAAATCCCTTTCCTCAGATGTTGAGGTTAGGACTCTACCAAATAGTCTGTACTCTGCCCTTGGGTTTTTACGTCCAAGATGCATTGTCTTGCACTTATCCACATTAAATGTCAGTTGCCACAACTCTGACCGTTTTTCTAGTTTACCGAAATCATTTGTCATTTGGCTTATCCCTCCTGGAACATCAACCCTGTTACATATCTTAGTATCATCAGCAAAAAGACATACCTTACCATCAAGACCTTCTGCAATATCAAAGACTGCTGAATAAAACCCATCTGAAATCACATAGCAGAGTGATGAGGAATATTTACTGAGATTAAAAAATATGGACATTTATTGTATATAAACATTCTTTCAGTGTCATAAACCGGCTTAAAAACAAAAAGGACGAAAATAATATTGTAATAAAATAAAATGTACATACTATTAAAAGTATTTGAAATTCTGAACATAGATTTTCTTAGTTTGCCGTAATATGTTTATCCTTTTTAATGTGTTTCTTAGATTTCTCTATTTAATCTTATCTTTAATCAATCATTCATTTTCTACTCCTGTGTTGTAATTGCACGATTTTCAGATTTTTCTTCCTTTTCCTTTTCTTGTTTATCTGTTCTTTGTCGTCCATTAAACCCAGAATGCAGAGAGTGACCCTGCCTGCAGCCCCCAACTGCTTAAAGACCTGATTAAGTGTGAGATGCAGCGTGTTACCCAGTATCCTCTGCTTCTGAAGAATATCATTAAACGAACAGAAAGTGAGTCCATCTATCGTCTACTAACTTTCAGTCCAGGCAGTCACGTTCACGTTGCTCTAATAAAACATCAGCAACATCTTTCTATTCGTTAGATATTAACCATGTGACAGACCCATCTGTCTGGACTAAAAGTACTGTGTTCGCCTGTTTTGCCGTTTGCATGAATTCTCCCATTCGTATGCTTTGTTGCAGGGAATGTCTGGTTTTGTCGAACGGACTTACCAAACGGACGGCCACCCAGAAGAGAAGTGTGCTGCTGGTTAACCTATTGATCCCAATTAGAACGTTGCCGTTAACCACAGACACTTCTCAATTAAAACCGAATGCCAGGTGGTCGTCGTTCGTATGTCGACCACGAGGCGGCGGCCATTTTAACCATGCGAAAGACCAGCGGTGTTCGACGATTATTTCATGGATCTAAAAACGGACACATTTTCAACCGAACACCGCTGAAGCCATCGACCTCCCCTTCTTAATCGACAAAAGCATACGAATGCCGGCCGTTCGGGAGATTCAACAACACGAATGGACTTAACCCAGATAGCCTTCCCATGGAGTCAATCGCATACCGAAGAACTGTAATAGACTTTGACTCCATGGCGATTGAACTATGCGAATGGGATCTGAGCGCTATTCGCCAATAATATGCACTCAGATCCAGGCTATCTGGGGATGTGTTACACGAATGCAATATGTTCGGCAGTTATAAAGTTATAGATTTTTATGTGTTTTATGACTTGTACTTAAAATGGCGATTTGCCTCTGCTCGGGGAGATAATTTAATTACTTCCCAATTATCTCCCGAGCAGAGGGGAGGGAACTGTGATGCATGCTGGGAATATTGTGGGGATGTATGTCCAAAATGTCCCCATGTCCTTCTGTCATTTCAGTCTCCCATTTGGTCCCCTAGGGGAGTGTCCACCAAGTGGGAGACCTGCATAAATACCGGGCAGGTAGCCCACAGTAAATCAGTTCGTGTTTTACCCTCAAAGCGGAGCTTGGTCTCGTTATTGGGGGGATTTTATTACCGGCGACTAGAGACTGCTTATTTGGATTATTTGCCGCTTGGAAGATATTGGCGTTCGGCTAATATTGTCAGTTCGTGGATTTGGAGTTCGTGAAGGGAAAGAGCCATACAGGTACCGTTCGGGAGTTTGAAGTGTTCCCTAGCTGGCGGTTCGCATGATTATACTGCATACGCTACCAGATTACATTATTGAGAACGGGGAACATTCACTAAACGGCGGTTTGCACATTTATTACTGGAGGTACCGTAACAAACCATTTCTCACATTTGTATTATTATTATTTTATAAAGAGCCAATAAATTCCACGGCGCTGTAAATATTATCCCTGTGCTGTCTATGGCCTTCCCGTAATAGCTCTCGTAGGACCTTCGTTATGGGTTTAACCATCTCTAGGGTACAGCTTTATAATAATAATCTTTACTTTTCACAAATCTAAAAGATTCTATAAATTATCTTCTTACAGGTGGATCAGAGGAGATTGGAGTCCTGCATCTCAGCCTGGAACGGTGCCGCACTCTACTAAAAGATGTAGAGGCATCAATGACCAGATTTGAGAATCAACGAACCCTGCCAGAGATTAAAAAACATCTGGATACAACGTCTCTAAGAAAGAGCAAACATCCCGCGGGAGCAGAGTGTCCCCAGTAAGGCCATTCTATTCTTTTATTCTAAGTTTTGGGAAGTGGTTATAAAATATTATGAAATCCGTTCTTTACATAGTACTAATCCTTCTTCCTAGAAATTTATGGATTCTGACAACGTTTTCTGCCACTTTTCCACATTATTTGCCTTTCACATAATTTGATCTACAACCCCCGATATTGCTTTCTTCTTATAAACGTGTCAACAAAAGTGTGTTCAAATCGCACTTATTAATTGTGACATCTTGCACCTTGAATAAGCAATATAGCATGTTGTAATATTACATTTTAATTCCTACCACACAATATGGATTATTTCTAGAATTTTAATACATAACTACTCATATTGCTAATAGCCATAAAATACAATATAAAGGACTGGTTGCATGATGGATACCTGAGGAAAATTCCTATGAACTGCTCTATTCAAAATTGTGAGAGTAGTACATTGTGAAAGAAATGTATCTACGTTATAAATCTGGTATATTCATTGTTCCACCTTTCAAAGGTTTAATACCAAAGTCAAGATAATTGGCCATATTTATTGCTCTAGCACAAACCGTCCTACACACGTGCCTTCATTACCAAATATGTGCTCGTGCTCGCTAGTTCAGTCAGTGCGCTGAGAATCTGGTTTGGAAACTGTTTATAGAAATTCTGAATCCTAACGCCTTTTGTTCACTTTCAGGGCGAGTCTGACCTGGCCAGAGACCGTGGGTTGGAATGTGATTTCTCGGTTAAAACCACGAGAAATTAAGAGACAGGAGGCGATACACGGTAAGTGTTACAATGATTATACACCTAGGATAAAGTGTGAATGGTCGGGTGTGTGTACCTGGGTCATTTTCCTATCCTTCATATTTCCAGATATTTTCTTTATAAACAAACCCAGGAGATTGCTCGAGGGCACCAGGGGGACGTACGGTGCCTGATGTTACTAAACTCTACAAAGAGACACTTTATGCCATCTATGTGGAAGGGATGGCACAGGGGATAATCAATGGCAAAGCTCCAGTCTGTCCTTGTTCTAATCACTTTATTGCAAACACCATGTATTTTTATACGTCCTGCTTATTACCATATAAAGGGACAGTGTATTATATCTTATTACATGGTAGTGTTTGTGGCTGGAAGCAAATTATATTATGTAGACCCACAAAATTAAGTCCTGTACTCAAACTCCCACTACTCCTGGTCCATATCAACACCCGATAAATAGAATAAAAATAAATAAATAAATAAACATTACTTGTGCACTATCCAAAATCCCTATGCACATTTAAATAACTGGAGGTTTTTAGTATCCAATGGTCTTTCAAGTGTAAGCTCACCTGCCAAGTCAAGGCAAAGGTGAGTCTTACACTAAGAATTCACCTTGCTCCATTCAGCTAAAAGAACAGATCTCTAATGAGATGGAAAGGGTTACATTATGTGACAATGAGTTACAATGTCAGTCAATGTGTTATCATATTAAATGGTGAGAATGTGGGATATACCCCATAATACTTTGTGCCTGCGGTTCTTACAGCCTTATAAGGGCAGCAAGGTAACTGTTACGGATCACCTGGCACCCCGACTGGGTACCTCCGTTGAAGAATGCTCCTAGCGCTTACAGAGGGCTCCAAGCGCTCCGCCAGACACCACAACCACCATAGACCCCACGAACCGCCGCAGCTTGGCTGGGGTCTCGCCATCTCCTACCCACCCTGGACCTACGACAAGGCTCCAGGTTCCAGTGGGTGAACCTCTCCTCCTAGAGAGTGAAGCAGGAACAAGCTCTTACAAGAGCTCAGTGATTATAGCAAGGGAATATGCAGAGCATAGCAATCCCTTGTAGCAGATTCCCCCAATAAGAGACAGGACTCAGATTGAGGGTGAAGTAGAACTGAGTGGACTGGCACATACAGCCTCTTTTATTCCCAATCCACAAACTTAGTACTGCCCACAGGGTTTTACAGAACAACCAATCAATCTGTACCATACACACAGACACTCCCACACAAAATCCTCCACTCTGCCTGTGATATGATTACTGAACACAATGGTTAATCTAATTATCACAGGGAGAGAAATACAGTATCATAAAACACATCACAGGGACCCCAAAACATGCAATAATATAAAAATATATATCCTTGGAACCAGGGGATCTGGGTGAACCACATATCCAAAATTCACCCAAATCTGTTCAGTACTTTCAAAGATACAGTTTAATGCAGATTCCACAGAACATATGCAGGCTAAATGAAAAACAATTACTGTATAATGTGTCCCCTGTTGTATAGTCCAAAACCACAGCACGAAGTCCAAACAGTGTCTGTGAGTTAAAATGGCCACCATCGATTGTTCTCACCATGTGCTTCATCCATTGTTCTCACCATGTGCCACTGATACAGGAAATGGTGGCCACCCAGTAACTCCACAGTATGTCCCCAGATGGTTCTTAAAGGGCCAGCAGCAGCACAACACAAATCCATTATGCCCAAATCATGTCTTTAAAGGGCAATACACCCCAGGTGCCATAGTCACATGGCAGGAGGCTGGCAATCAGTCTTCTCCAATGCCCAGTGGTGAGGTCAGTTTTGCCAAAGTAACTAACTGCGCAGATTGTACCCCAAAACACACATTCCCTAAACTATTGTTTCCCAAATCTTTTTAGGAATCACTAGAACAACCGCAGCCTCCATGTCGCATGGAGGTTTGTAATTCAAGTCTGGAGTTCTTAATATGTTTTCTTTCAATGGTTTTATAACTTGTCTTCCCATAATAAAGTAATTCCAGGCAGCACTAATCATGTTAAATACATTCTCCTATTTCTGCTGTAGAACTCTTTGTGACTGAAGAGTCCCACCTTCGTGCTCTCAATGTTCTGGACTCTGTATTCTACCAGAAGTTAATCAGCGAGGCATTGCTGTCTCCGGATGAAGTGAAGCTTGTCTTCCCTAACCTGCCACAGCTCATTAATATCCACAGTAAGATATGGAACATTTCTAATGTATGCAGTAAAACTAAATAAATGCCCCAAGTGAAGGTGAATGTTGTGAGTGGACTGATAGAAGGTTAGGAACCCATTTATAGGGACTCTGTGTACTAAATATGACACCACTTATATCTGAAATGTATTTCTTACTTTTTCATCATTATCTTGCAATTACATAAATTGTTATGGGAAATTGTAAACATACATTTCTTTCTCTGTCTTCTCCTCAGCTGCGAGTCTGTCATTTATTATGAAGCCATGAGAAAAACTCAGTGAGCCCAAAACTGATCAAATGAGGTGTTCAAATTGGTGGCCTCAGTGTCCCTTTAAATAACTAATACATTCATTATTGATACATTCGTTATAGTGTCCTTTTAATAAACCAAGAATTAAAAATGAAATTCACAAAGTGCTGGGATCCATACTTACCACAAAGGTATCCTGACTGTCCACAGTACTTGATACCATAGATTAAATAAAACCATGCCAGGCCATTCGGGGAAATAAGAGGAATTCCTCAACTGGAGAATGGCTAGACTGTCACAACTAGGCCTTTTGCTGTCCCTCATTTTCTGTTTGTAGCCTATAAAACCAGAGTGGTCAGTCTTCCACTGTCAACCAGTCTTAGAGACATTGAATTTATGAGTCACCTAGGTATGAGCAACTACCTCTTAATGTTAACATTGTAAAGCGCTGCGGAATTTGATGGCGCTGTATAAATAATAACATAATAATAATAATAATAACAATGGAACATGATATCGGTAAACTGCAGCCCACTGTGAGGATTTACACAAAATGCAGACTATTGCAGCTCATAGGGCACACATCAAGCAATGAAACACAGTATGGATTGTTTATCAGGATGGCACTATAAATACTGCGCTATAGAAGATGTAAATCCTTCTCTCCTATGATACTCACATCTCTTCTCCTTCCCACCAGACTCCCTGTTGGAATCCATGAAGCAGGTGCTTGTAGGTGGACTTTATGCCAAAGAAATTGGTGGAATCCTACTCTCCCACGTGAGTACTAAAAATCTGAAATACTGTCATACAATATCAGTTACCTATTGAGAAAAACGTAACAATTCTTCCATTGATGGAGTATGGGACAGAATGCCCTAGCTGTGAAATACGTCTGAAGTATTTCTTCTGCAGATATTAACAGCAACATTTCAATAAAAGGACAGTTTTCACTGATATTGTGTAACTTCTGTCACGAAACCATTAAGGAAGAATTCATGAGAATTCCACAGAGATGTATCTGGATTTTAGTACCTGAGGTTGAGTTGTCTGTGCACCCCCTCATAATTTTACATGTGTGTATTACCACAACCACTGTGTGTCTCTCTCCCACCTTTTCTTTGTATTTTCTGACTCCGTCACTCCTTCGGTTGTCTTTATTTAGCCATGTCAACCACGATGTGTCTACTAATCCTCATGTTCATGTCTGTAGCGGAGAGCTGGTATTACACAACCTATCTCCACTTTAGATCCCAGGGAGGTTCAGGAACAAGCAATTATAAATCCATAGGGTAAAGTATCCAGCAGGCAAAGTAACACAGCAATATCCCAGCAGTAATCCCAATAACTGGACGACACACAGTATCAGGAGCAGAACTGAAGATTTATTCACACAGTGGCCTTTTAAAGCCTGCTCCCATGCAAGGGAGGGATTTCCATTAATTTGTACAGTAGCCAATCCTGCTCTGGTAACCTCCCACACATCTCCTCCCTCAGCCTGCATCATAATCCCCTTATCCAGCACACCAATTCCCCCCGTTTCTGGATGTACCCCTAAACTTAGGGGTACTACTTTAAATTATACATCCCCTGGTAGCCCTGATCTGGGTGAACAACATCCAAAAATCATCCAGATCAGACCAGGGGTTCGGGAAATTCATGGAGGGAATAAAATGACCATCCGCACTGGAGAGAACAGCCGAATGGGGTTCCATGCGATGGGGTCCTGCGGTCGGTCCTGGAGTCAGGGAATAAACTGCACGAAAGCCTCTAGCTACAGAGACTAGGGAGGGTTCTCCTGAATCCCCTCGTTCGGTTGTTTCTATCTACCAAACGAGGGGCCGTTCGGTAGTTTGGAACCGAACGGACCGGGCTTGTGGAGGTCTCAGCGGTGTTCGCCTAGTCGAGTGCCAATGTTGCAACAGGTAATTGAAGGCACGCTTCACACAGGGGAGGTCTGACTGTTCGGTAGTTTCATTCGAACAAACTAAGGGAATGAAACTACCTAACATTCAGACGAATACAATACATTTAACACATAGAACTTTGCTATTTTACACAAATGCATTCAAACACATGTAATTCTCAGGACAGCCCAGTGCCATCCGCTACAATGTCTTTTGACCCCTTTATCTCTGAACTACCCTCACCTGCATATATGTCCCTTAAACTCCTACACCACCTTGTTTGTCTCTCCTAAACTGCCTCATACCCTTTTACATCTCTCTGACCCTTATTATCTCTACAACCCCCATTATCTGCCACCTGCATGGATTGTAGCATGTCCATGGAAAAACGCAGCTCAGGGTGAGTATGTGAGGGCAATGGGTAGAAAGGAGGGTATAATGTTAAGTCCCTGTCCCCCTCCACTCATACTGCATGTTATGAACTCTGAGCAACACTGAAAGACCTTGCGGAGTAGTATGAATAGACTCCGGTACATACAATGCAGAGCCAGGAGGTGGATACAGCTGTCACCTGAGATGGACCCTGTCCCTTCGTACATTATTGGAATTTGGTAACTAATTTTTATGGTAAGGAAGGTTCATCTATTGACCTTAGCAGCAGGTCCTTCAGAACATAAAGATGCTGATAACACAATATTTTCTTTATTTCTCTCCTACTCCTTCTCCGTGTTAACATTACACTATCTCTTGTTTGTCTGGGTTTTCTAGTTTGACAGAGCTTCTGATGACATAGTGAAGGAAACAGCGAAGTTTTGCTGTAACCAGATCTCTGCGCTGAAACTTATTAAGAGCAAACAGCACGAGGACACCAGGTTCAGGAGATTCATGCAGGTACTATGCCTACCATCAGATAGAGAGATCCCTATATGTTTTACAATACGCCTTCCCTCCTTTCCTACAGGACTTAGTTGGACCTGATAGTTTCCAACCATTGTTAAATCGATGATACATAGTGCTATAGATTTACAATGTTACATGTCACTGTTCACCAACTTCAGTAGGCCATACCAGTGAATGTCTGCCAGCACACTGCTTTGTAATTTCAGTGGAGTTTTATAAAGCCATCAACTCAATAACATGATAATATTTTAACACGTTTGGGTGTCTTCAACGAGCTACAAGGGTTTAGAAACATAGAATGTGACGGCAGATAAGAACAATTCGGCCCATCTAGTCTGCCCAATTTTCTAAATACTTTGATTAGTCCCTGGCCTTATCTTATAGTTAGGATAGCCTTATGCCTATCCCACGCATGCTTAAACTCCTTTACTGTGTTAACCTCTACCACTTCAGCTGGAAGGCTATTCCATGCATCCACTACCCTCTTAGTAAAGTAATAATACGTCCTGATATTATATTTAAACCTTTGCCCCTTTAATGTCCTCTTGTTGTGGTAGTTTTTCTTCTTTTAAATATAGTCTCCTCCTTTACTGTGTTGATTCCCTTTATATATTTAAATGTTTCTATCATATCCTCCCGTCTCGTCTTTCCTCCAAGCTATACATGTTAAGATCCTTTAACCTTTCCTGGTAAGTTTTATCCCGCAATCCATGAACCAGTTTAGTAGCCCTTCTCTGAACCCTCTCTAAAGTATCAATATCCTTCTGGAGATACGGTCTCCAGTACTGTGTACAATACTGCAAGTGAGGTCTCACCAGTGTTCTGTACAATGGCATGAGCACTTCCCTCTTTCTACTGCTAATACCTCTCCCTATAAAACCAAGCCTTCTGCTAGCATTTCTTGCTGCTCTATTACATTGTCTGCCTACCTTTAAGTCATCAGAAATAATCACCCCTAAATCCCTTTCCACAGATGTTGAGGTTAGGACCCTATCAAATATTCTGTACTCTGCCCTTGGGTTTTTACGTCCAAGATGCATTATCTTGCACTTATCCACATTAAATGTCAGTTGCCACAGTTCTGACCATTTTTCTAGTTTAGCGAAATCATTTGCCATTTGGCTTATCCCTCCTGGAACATCAACCCTGTTACATATCTTAGTATCATCAGCAAAAAGACATATCTTACCATCAAGACCTTCTGCAATATCAAAGACTGCTGAATAAAACCCGTCTGAAATCACATAGCAGAGTGATGAGGAATATTTACTGAGATTAAAAAATATGGACATTTATTGCATATAAACATTCTTTCAGTGTCATAAACCGGCTTAAAAACAAAAAGGAAAAAAATAATATTGTAATAAAATAAAATGTACATACTATTAAAAGTATTTGCAATTCTGAACATAGATTTTCTTAGTTTGCTGTAATATGTTTATCCTTTTTAATGTGTTTCTTAGATTTCTCTATTTAATCTTATCTTTAATCAATCATTCATTTTCTACGCCTGTGTTGTAATTGCACGATTTTCAGATTTTTCTTCCTTTTCCTTTTCTTGTTCATCTGTTCTTTGTCGTCCATTAAACCCAGAATGCAGAGAGTAACCCTGCCTGCACCCCCCAACTGCTTAAAGACCTGATTAAGTGTGAGATGCAGCGTGTTACCCAGTATCCTCTGCTTCTGGAGAATATCCGCATACACACGGAAGGTGAGTCCATCTATTGTCTACTAACATTCAGTCCAGGCAGTCACGTTCACGTTGCTCTAATAAAACATCAGCAACATCTTTCTATTAGTTAGATATTAACCATTGCTCACATTTGTATAATTATTATTTTATAAAGAGCCAATAAATTCCACGGCACTGTAAATATTATCTCCTGTGCTGTCTATGGCCTTCCCATAATAGCTCTCGTAGGACCTTCGTTATGGGTTTAACCATCTCTAGGGTACAGCTTTATAATAATGACCAGTGTAAAGATAATATATATAACCCAGAATCTCTACTTTTCACAAATCTAAAAGAATCTATAAATTATCTTCTTACAGGTGGATCAGAGGAGATTGGAGTCCTGCATCTCTGCCTGGAACGGTGCCGCACTATACTAAAAGATGTAGAGGCATCGATGACCAGATGTGAGAATCAACGAACCCTGCCAGAGATTAAAAAACATCTGGATACAACGTCTCTAAGAAAGAGCAAACATCCCGCAGCAGCAGAGTGTCCCCAGTAAGGCCATTCTATTCTTTTATTCTAAGTTTTGGGAAGTGGTTATAAAATATTATGAAATCCGTCCTTTACATAGTACTAATCCTTCTTCTTAGAAATTTATGGATTCTGACAGCTTTTTCTGCCACTTTTCCACATTATTTGCCTTTTACATAATTTGATCTACAACCCCCGATATTGCTTTCTTCTTATAAACGTGTCAACAAAAGTGTATTCAAATCACACTTATTAATTGTGACATCTTGCACCTTGAATAAGCAATATAGCATGTTGTAATATTACATTTTAATTCCTACCACACAATATGGATTATTTCTAGAATTTTAATACGTAACTACTCATATTGCTAATAGCCATAAAATACAATATAAAGGACTGGTTGCATGATGGATACCTGAGGAAAATTCCTATGAACTGCTCTATTCAAAATTGTGAGAGTAGTACATTGTGAAAGAAATGTATCTACGTTATAAATCTGGTATATTCATTGTTCCACCTTCCAAAGGTTTAATACCAAAGTCAAGATCATTGGCCATATTTATTACTCTAGCACAAACCGTCCTACACACGTGCCTTCATTACCAAATATGTGCTCGTGCTCGCTAGTTCAGTCAGTGCGCTGAGAATCTGGTTTGGAAACTGTCCGTTCAGTAGATAGAAATTCTGAATCCTAACGCCATTTGTTCACTTTCAGGGCTAGTCTGACCTGGTCAGAGACCGTGGGTTGGAATGTGATTTCTCAGTTAAAACTACGAGAAATTAAGAGACAGGAGGCGATACACGGTAAGTGTTACAATGATTATACACCTAGAATAAAGTGTGAATGGTCGGGTGTGTGTACCTGGGTCATTTTCCTATCCTACATATTTCCAGATATTTCCTTTATAAACAAACCCAGGAGATTGCTTGAGGGCACCAGAGGGACGTACGGTGCCTGATGTTACTAAACTCTACAAAGAAACACTTTATGCCATCTATGTGGAAGGGATGGCACAGGGAATAATCAATGGCAAAGCTCCAGTCTGTCCTTGTTCTAATCACTTTATTGCAAACACCATGTATTTTTATACGTCCTGCTTATTACCATATAAAAGGACAGTGTATTATATCTTATTACATGGTAGTGTTTGTGCCTGGAAGCAAATTATATTATGTAGACCCACAAAATTAAGTCCTGTACTCAAACTCCCACTACTCCTGGTCGGCAGCAATAATTAAAATACGCATCAACACCCGATACATAGAATTAAAATAAATAAATAAATAAACATTACTTGTGCACTATCCCAAATCCCTATGCACATTTAAATAACTGGAGGTTTTTAGTATCCAATGGTGTTTCAAGTGTGAGCTCACCTGCCAAGTCAAGGCAAAACTCTTAGGTGAGTCTTACACTAAGAATTCAGAAAAAGAAAAAGTTAACTGTTCGTGCTATATTATAAAAGAGTACCCAAGGTTTTAAAGTGTACCCTTACAGACACTTAAAACACAATAGTAAAAAAAGAAGAAAAAAACAAAGGTACAAAGCAGTGTATATCACCAAAGTGACAAAGAATAATAAATATATACCAACTGAGTATGTAGAAATATTCTTTCTTAGAAATATATCTGAAAATACATAAAAACTATATAGTGTAATATTGTTACTTCTAAATAGAAGCAAAAATGGTAGAAAACTCACAAAATTAGGTGAAATCAGGCGTATCTCCCAAAATAGGGAACTGTGGCAATATGAAGAACCTCCAGCGATGATCTTATAGTAGATCTTCTCATTCACTCCAAGTAAAGAGAAAAATAGATAGTGTAGATGGTACAAAATGTAACAATTTATTATAAATAAGTTGCACTTACAATGTTGCAAGTTAAAACCAGCGTGTCTCCACACCAAGTGGTGTCCACATGCAATAGTTGATCCAATAACAGCACAGGATTTCATGCAGCAGCAAAAGAATAAAAAGTACAGATGGACTATAAAATAAATAAAATAAAAAGTTCCAACGCGTTTCGTCCGTCTTGGGACTTCCTCAGGGATGTGTAATACTAATAAGAATGAGAATCCTCTTTTATATCCACCGTTAAATTGATGAATCATTCGCCGGTGTCGGTGTGCGTTCCACTGTGGAACGCATTCTACTTCCGCATGACGTCACTTCCGGTTTCGCAGACTCAATATGGAACAGCAGTTCTTGAAACGGCATTGACAATTGCAGCTGAGAAAACTCTCTCCTCACTAATATATTGTTTCCACAACAGTTCAAGGCCATAATTACACTCAAAATATACATATAATACAATGATCACCATAGGGATGAAGAGTGTCAACAATGGAAATGTTGTAAATAGTACACAATATAAATATTATTAAAAAATATATATATTTCTCACAACCTAATTCATATCAATTTATATTACCAAAATATAATATAAAAAAGAGAAATATGAAAAATAATACAAAAAACTTTATCAAATCCATTTGTTGTCACTCTCCATCTCTTTACAAAAACATATCCCTTTATATAAAGAACTGTAATATACAATATTATATAGAAAAACAAACATTTTGTATATATTATTAAACTTTATGTATTGGAAAAATTATATAAGAGAAAATTCTTTTTATCAGAGAAAATTTCTGAAATTAGAAGACAAATGTTAATAATCAAGTATAGACCAATCAAAAATATATAAAAAATATATATAAAAAAAATATATAAAAAAATATATAAAGAAATATAATAATGAAAAATGAAATAATAATAATAATAAAAAAATAAAAATATAAATATGAAAATAATAATAATAATAATAATAATAAAATAAAAATAGAAATAAAAATAAATATAAAATGAAAATAAACATAAATAAATGAAATAAATGAATAAAATAAAATAAAATAAATAACATAAAATGAAATTAAATCAATCCAACTAGATCTATTTCTTGATTTAGACCAAATTTTAAAGTTTTTAAATTAAAAATCCACTGTGCTTCTTTTGTGTTTAATGAAATTTCTATATTTCCACCTCTCCAATGTTTATCTATTTTGTCTATCCCAATGGCTATAAAAGTATTCCACTGAAAAAGTGGACAATGAGCACAATGTTTGGATACACTATGTTCTAATTTTTTATTTTTTATATTTTGAAAGTGTTCCAATAATCTGACGTGCAGTTTTCAAATGGTACGGCCAATATATTGTGCTCCACAACCACATTGCAGTAAATAAACCACATGCGTGGTAGAGCATTGAATAAATTTTTTTATTTGATAAGTCTGCTGAGTATAAGTACCTGTAAACGTATTAGTACTCTTTTTTTGATATGTACATGTAGAACACTTTCCACATCGAAAAAAACCTTTTAATATTTGATTAGAAAAAATATGTGTATGTTGAGCAGGAATAATTTTTTTGGTAGGTAAAATACTTGGAGCTAATTTGTTCTTTAGATTTTCTGCCTTTCTATAAATTATAATGGTTTTTTTTGGTAAGATGTTATTTCAAAAGGTATCTTTCTTTAATATATGCCAATGGCGATTAATTATACTTTGAATTTCTCGAGCTTGAGAATGATATTTTGTTATAAAGGCAAAATCAAACTTATTTCCATTTTTCTTTTTATTTTTATTATCATTTGGAGTTAGTAATTTACTACAATCTGTATTAATCAAAGATGTTTCAGCTTCTTCAATCATTTTTAAATCATATCCCTTCTCAATATATCTTTGTTTTATGACTTTAGATTGAGTTTTAAAAGTATCTATATCTGAACAATTACGTCTTAAACGTGTTAATTGTCCTTTTGGGACATTTCTTAACCAAGAAGGATGATGTGAGCTTGAGTGCTCTATAGCCGTATTACAGTCAGTATTTTTAAAAAAAGTTTTTGTTTTCAGAATATCATTCTCTATATAGATGGTTAAATCCAAAAAATCTATTTGAGTAGTGTGACAAGTAGAGGTGAAACTTAGATTATATTCATTGTTATTTACATATAAAATAAAATTGTCCAAACTTGTTTGATCACCTTCCCATATAATGAGCACGTCATCTATGTAGCGTCGCCATAGAACGAGGCTCCCCCCCAGCGTCTGACCCAAAGAAATACATCTAGATTCCCAATGGGAGACATACAAATTGGCGAAGCTGGGGGCGAACCTCGTCCCCATGGCGACACCACATAGCTGCAAAAAATACTGGTCGTTAAACCAAAAAAAATTCTTAGATAGAACAAAAAACATACAATCAATCAGAAAATCAATCTGTTTCCTCGCAACAGAGGAGTGTTGTTGCAACCAATCCCCTATTGCCCATAGGCCTTTTTGATGGGGGATACTAGTATAAAGAGAGACTACATCTACTGAAGCTAGAATGTAGTTTGATTTCCATTCTATTGATTGTAAATCATTTAAAAGGTGTTTAGAATCTTTAATAAATGAAGGTATCTTAGTTACATATGGTTGTAAAAAGAAATCTATGTAAGCCGAAAGATTACAGGAAAGTGAATCAATGCCACTTATAATGGGGAGACCTGGTGGTTGTGAAATAGATTTGTGTATCTTGGGTAAAAAATAAAAACAAGCAATTTTGCAATGTGGGTTATACAAAAATGTGGGTTGCCACAGTTTCCTATTTTGGGAGATACGCCTGATTTCACCTAATTTTGTGAGTTTTCTACCATTTTTGCTTCTATTTAGAAGTAACAATATTACACTATATAGTTTTTATGTATTTTCAGATATATTTCTAAGAAAGAATATTTCTACATACTCAGTTGGTATATATTTATTATTCTTTGTCACTTTGGTGATTTACACTGCTTTGTACCTTTGGTTTTTTCTTCTTTTTTTACACTAAGAATTCCCCTTACTCCATTCAGCTAAAAGAAGAGATCTCTAATGAGATGGAAAGGGTTGCATTATGTGACAATGAGTTACAATGTCAATCAATGTGTTATCATATTAAATGGTGAGAATGTGGGATATACCCCATAATACTTCGTGCCTGGGGTTCTTACAGCCTTATAAGGGCAGCAAGGTAACTAACTGCGCAGATTGTACCCCAAAACACACATTGCCTAAACTATTGTTTCCCAAATCTTTTTGTAACAAGTTGGTTTGGTGAACACAGATAACTGTATCACTCATAGTGTTCCCTCTGCTCGTGTTTCTGTAAGATTAGAAATGAAACAGTTAATAGGAATCACTAGAACAACCGCAGCCTCCATGTCGCATGGAAGTTTGTAATTCAAGTCTGGAGTTCTTAATATGTTTTATTTCAATGGTTTTATAACTTGACTTCCCATAATAAAGTAATTCCAGGCAGCACAGATCATGTTAAATACATTCTCCTATTTCTGCTCTAGAACTCTTTGTGACTGAAGAGTCCCACCTTCGTGCTCTCCATGTTCTGGACTCTGTATTCTACCAGAAGTTAATCAGCGAGGCATTGCTGTCTCCGGATGAAGTGAAGCTTGTCTTCCCTAACCTGCCACAGCTCATTAATATCCACAGTAAGATATGGAACATTTCTAATGTATGCAGTAAAACTAAATAAATGCCCCAAGTGAAGGTGAATGTTGTGACTGGACTGATAGAAGGTTAGGAACCCATTTATAGGGACTCTGTGTACTAAATATGGCACCACTTATATCTGAAATGTATTTCTTACTTTTTCATCATTATCTTGCAATTACATAAATTGTTATGGGAAATTGTAAACATACATTTCTTTCTCTTTCTTTCTGCTGAATAGCAGCTCCTCAGCTGCCAGTCTGTCATTTATTATGAAGCCATGAGAAAAACTCAGTGAGCCCCAAAATTGATCAAATGAGGTGTTCAAATTGGTGGCCTCAGTGTCCCTTTTAATAACTAATACATTCATTATTGATACATTCGTTATAGTGTCCTTTTAATAAACCAAGAATTAAAAATGAAATTCACAAAGAGCTGGGATCCATACTTACCACAAAGGTATCCTGACTGTCCACAGTACTTGATACCATAGATTAAATAAAACAATGCCAGGCCATTCGGGGAAATAAGAGGAATTCCTCAACTGGAGAATGGCTAGACTGTCACAACTAGGCCTTTTGCTGTCCCTCATTTTCTGTTTGTAGCCTATAAAACCAGAGTGGTCAGTCTTCCACTGTCAGCCAGTCATAGAGACATTGAATTTATGAGTCACCTAGGTACGAGCAACTACCTCTTAATGTTAACATTGTAAAGCGCTGCGGAATTTGATGGCGCTATATATAAATTATAAAATAATAATAATAATAATAACAATGGAACATGATATCGGTAAACTGCAGCCCACTGTGAGGATTTACACAAAATGCAGACTATTGCAGCTCATAGGGCATACATCAAGCAATGAAACACAGTATGGATTGTTTATCAGGATGGCACTATAAATACTGCGCTATAGAAGATGTAAATCCTTCTCTCCTATGATAATCACATCTCTTCTCCTTCCCACCAGACTCCCTGTTGGAATCCATGAAGCAGGTGCTTGTAGGTGGACTTTATGTCAAAGAAATTGGTGGAATCCTACTCTCCCACGTGAGTACTAAAAATCTGAAATACTGTCATACAATATCAGTTACCTATTGAGAAAAACGTAACAATTCTTCCATTGATGGAGTATGGGACAGAATGCCCTAGCTGTGAAATACGTCTGAAGTATTTCTTCTGCAGATATTAACAGCAACATTTCAATAGAGGGACAGTTTTCATTGGCATTGTGTAACTTCTCTCAGGAAACCATTAAGGAAGAATTCATGAGAATTCCACAGAGATGTATCTGGATATTATTACCTGAGGTTGAGTTGTCTGTGGCACCCCCTCATACTTTTACATTTGTGTATTACCACAACCCCTGTGTGTCTCTCTTCCACCTCTTCTTCATATTTTCTGACTCCGTCACTCCTTGTGTTTTCTCTCATAAGCCATCTCACCCCCCATTTGTCTACTACTCCTCACATGAATGTCTTTGGACCCCTTCATCCCCTGTGTGTCTCTCTTCACTTCCCTCAATCCGTTACTCACTCTGCACTACCCTCACCTTTTTATGTGTCTGTTAAACTCCTTCAGCACCTTGTGTGTGTCTCCTGAACTGCCTTAAAATCTTTATGTTTCTCCTGTCACATATTATCTCTGCAACCACCGACCACTTATGTTCCCTCCATTAGCAGCCACCTGCCTTGGATTGCACCATGTCCAGGTAGAAATGCAACGCAGGATGAGCATGCGAGGAGAATGGGTAAAGAGGGGGGGTATGACGTTAAGTCCCTGTCCCCTCCACTCTTACTGCATGTTATAGACTCTGAGCAGCACTGAGAGACCTTGCGGAGTAATATGAATAGACTCAGGTACATACAATGGAGGAGGTGGATACTATCTGAACAGCTCTTCTAGCTGTCACCCGGAGTGGATCCTATCCCTTCGTACATTACTGGAATTCGGTAACTCAATTTTATTGGAAGGAATGTCCATCAAGCAGCGGGTCCTTCAGAACAAAAAGTAGCTAATAACACAAAGTCGTCTTATTTCCTTCCTATTCCTTCTCTGTGTTAACTACACTATCTATTGTTTGTTTGTGTTTTCTAGTTTGACAGAGCTTCTGATGACATAGTGAAGGAAACAGTGAAGTTTTGCTGTAACCAGATCTCTGCGCTGGAACTGATTAAGAGCAAAAAGCGCAAGGACACCAGGTTCAGGAGATTCATGCAGGTACTACGCCTACCATCAGATAGAGGAATCCTTATATGTTTTACAATACGCCTTCCCTCCTTTCCTACAGGACTTGGGCCTGATACTTTCCAACTATTGTTAAGTCAGTGATACATAGTGCTATAGGACTTACAATGTAACATGTCACTGTTCCCCAACTTCAGTAGGCCACACCAGTGAATGTCCCCCAGCACACACTGCTTTTTTTTAATTTCAGTGGAGTTTTATTTAGACATCAAATCAACAACATGATAACATTTTGACACGTTTGGGTGTCTTCATCGAGCTTCAGTGGTTTGACTCCTGAATAAAACTAGTCTGAGATCACATTATTATTATTATCATTATATTATTATTTATATAGCAGAGTGATGAGGAATATTTACTGAAATTAAAAAATATGGACATTTATTGCATATAAACATTCTTTCAGTGTCATAAACCGGCTTAAAAACAAAAAGGAAGAAAATAATATTGTAATAAAATAAAATGTACATACTATTAAAAGTATTTGAAATTCTGAACATACATTTTCTTAGTTTGCCGTAATATGTTTATCCTTTTTAATGTGTTTCTTAGATTTCTCTATTTAATCTTATCTTTAATCAATCATTCATTTTCTACGCCTGTGTTGTAATTGCACGATTTTCAGATTTTTCTTCCTTTTCCTTTTCTTGTTTATTTGTTCTTTGTCGTCCATTAAACCCAGAATGCAGAGAGTGACCCTGCCTGCACCCCCCAACTGCTTAAAGACCTGATTAAGTGTGAGATGCAGCGTGTTACCCAGTATCCTCTGCTTCTGGAGAATATCATTAAACGAACAGAAAGTGAGTCCATCTATAGTCTACTAACTTTCAGTCCAGGCAGTCACGTTCACGTTTCTCTAATAAAACATCAGCAACATCTTTCTATTCGTTAGATATTAACCATTGCTCACATTTGTATTATTATTATTTTTTATACGAGCCAATAAATTCCACGGAGCTGTAAATATTATCTCCTGTGCTCTCTATGGCCTTCCCATAATAGCTCTCGTAGGACCTTCGTTATGGGTTTAACCATCTCTAGGGCACAGCTTTATAATAATGACCAGTGTAAAGATAATATATATAACCCAGATTCTTTACTTTATACAAATCTGACAGATTCTATAAATTATCTTACAGCGGAATCAAAAGATATTGGAGTCCTGCTTTTCTGCCTGGAACAGTGCCGCACTATAATAAAAGATGTAGAGGCCTCGATGACCAGGATTGAGAATCAACGAACACTGGCAAAGATTCAAAAACATCTGGATACAACGTCTCTAAGAAAGAGCAAACATCCCATGGCATCAGAGTTTGCAGTAAGCCTGGGGGTATTATACCCATTATTCTAGGGGGCAGGATGGCAAATATTAACCCAGGGGATAAACCAGTGTAGACAGTGTGTGGAAATATTCCAGTCAGAGCGCACGTGCTGTAAGAGTGTCATGGCGCCTCTGGTGTTTATAACTGGAACTGTACAATATATATATCTTTATCAGATGAGTAAATCCGTAACACAGTCAATTTCTTCTCATATCCACAGGACTTGGACCTCACTAAAAAACGTTTGATCCATGCAGGGCTTCTGACATGGAAGAGAGTAAACCATAAGACAACTGGTATGTACAAAGATTGAGAGACAAATCTTCTTGTGCAACATTAACAACATATGGGAGAAATTCTATAGGAAATGGCTTCTCACTGATTATAGACAGTAATAGCGCATGTTTACAGAATCCAGTCAGGAAAACTAGGGAAAATATTCCCTTCTATAACAGTGTGGATACAGCAGAATAAAACTCCATCTCCGCTAATACACTTATTATATGTAATGAGGAGTTAACCTTATCTCATAGCCCACTAAATCCCAAATTCTCATAACTTGGGAACAGAACCAACCCTAAGCCCCCTCTAAAATGCCTTTTATCCGAACCTAATCCTAATTGCTTTCCAAGCTTTACCTTACATTAGTGGCACGGTTATAAATGGGGACATTGTAAGAGGAGGTGTGATACTTATGAACTTATTAATCTCTCTGCATCATCATAGCAATGCCAGCTTTATAACTGGCCATTTCAACAATAATATTTTAAATACACAGGACAAAGTTAGAGAGATTACTCAAAGAAAAGACAGCACATTCTACATCTGTTAATTAAACAAATATATTCTGTGTACGGTATATGTGGGAAAAAATATATTTTTTCAGCTCAATTAAGTGGTCTGAGTGCCAGGTCCCCCAGGTTTTAACCCGTCAGATGTAAACATAGCAGTTTCGGAGTTTATCCAACCTCTAGTGGCTGTCTTCCTGACTGTCTAGTGGCTGTCTTCCAGTATTTGCGACGCTGGATGTGAAAATTGAACTCTGTGAACGGAAAAAAGCTGATAGAAACCCAGCTTGCGTTTTGGTTAGTTCCTGGTCAGAGTTAAAACATGATTTTGCTTACTTGTGCCATTACAGAGAAAACCAATGCCATTTGCATATTAGACGTTTTTTTTGTCAGCGAGGTGTAGCTGATACCCCACTAGGCACAGTGAGCAGGGGGTCCATGTCTGGATTAATTTTTTAACGTAGGGGAGCCTACATTTATTTGGTGTTTATCTTGGCTTCCTGCTATCATTGTTTTAACTCAGAACTCATTGTTTCTTACAGAGGTACAAGCTCTACTTTTAGAGGATCTGCTCGTCCTGCTGCGGAAAAAGAGAAATAAATTGGTTCTTAAATGGAAGGAAGAATGGGATCCCAACACTAAGACAAAGAAAGTGTTCAGTCCTATCATCAAGCTGAACAATCTGTTAGTCCGCACTGTGGCAACAGGTAACCCGCCACTCTCTCCTGGAATGGGGTAAAATCTGTGAATAGCGCGTTTGACCAGGGTCCTCATCAACCTAGTGTTCCTGTAAAATTATGTAATTTTATAATTTATTGTTAAATTTCCCCCTATTATAATATTGTAAAGCACTGATAAAAAAGTTGATGAAATATAAACGCTAATAATAATAAAATAGAAGTAATAAATGGGATGATACAATGACTGTGATTGTAAAGCTTTCTGTATTTGATGATATAAATCTATATTTACATTAATAGATGCTTGGGAATAACAGGACCTGAAATCTTTAATGAACATCTAAAACATATAAATACAGTACTATATGATTCATTTAAAGACAAACCAACAAATAACTGAAATCTGTAAAAATAAAAATAAAAAAAAATAATACATATAGAAGCATTAAAGACATTAAAATGATAGCAAACAGAATGCATACAGAGACCGTCACTATCAGTACTCACAATCCACATGACATAGGAGACATTGATGCTCAGTGTTTCTATTTGACCGGTCAATCCGCTAATTTAATTCTTCTCCTGGAATCCTGTGTTTATTCCTACAGATCAGGAATCATTCTTTGTCATGGATACGTCGGAGTCACCCCAGCTGTACAAATTCACCACAACCTCGACCTCTGAGAAAAAAAAGTAAGAATGACAGGTAGTGATGTCCCGAATGGTTCGCCAAACGGTTCGCGAACGGTTCGCCATGAACGGTTCGTCACGGACTCATCATTGAGTAAACTTTGACCCTGTACCTCACAGTCAGCAGACACATTCCAGCCAATCAGCAGCAGACCCTCCCTCCCAGACCCTCCCACCTCCTGGACAGCTCACTAAGAATGCAGCTTCACAATGAATGGATGCTGTCCAGGAGGTCGGAGGGTCTGGGAGGGAGGGTCTGCTGCTGTTTGGCTGGAATGTGTCTGCTGACTGTGAGGTACAGGGTCAAAGTTTACTCAATGATGAGTCCGTGGTGAACCGTTCGGCAAACCGTTCGGGACATCACTAATGACAGGCAATCACTTTAGATAATTTAATAATCTATATCAATTGTTTAAAGCCTCCATTGCTGTCACTGGGTTTATATCTAATATCATATATATCAAAAATGTATATAATATCCCAATAATATCTATAGTTCATAATCCTACATTGACCAGGCAGCAGATAGTGAATATATAGAAATATTTGATCTCACAGATATTTATCATCTGTTTCAAACAGTTGGATTCAGATGCTAAACGAAGCAATGAAAGAGGTGATTGATAAAATTCGTCTGGGGGAGGAAGAAATGAAAGATCAAACACCTGATGTCCCAGTAATTGGCCCTGACAGGTGAGATGTTAGTGAAGCTGATGAAAGTTAGTGAAGGAAACATCTCAGTGCGTCATAGTGTCAATGCTCAGCCATTTCTCTCTATGGGATTCTATAGAGTGAATCTATATATATATATATATAATTATAAAGGAATTATAATCTGCTCTAATCTTCTTGCAAACAGCTGTATTGAGATGGTTGAAGAAGCAGTATACAAGATGATTGGTAAACCATCTGTGGATGAGGAAATGAAAGATCAAACACCAGATGTCTCAGTAATTGCCCCTGACAGGTGAGATGTTAGTGAATCTGAGGAAAGTTAGTGAAGGAAACATCTCAGTGCTTCATAGTGTCAATGCTCAGCCATTTCTCTCTATGGGATTCTATAGAGTGAATCTAGATATATATAATTATAAAGGAATTATAATCTGCTCTAATCTTCTTGCAAACAGCTGTATTGAGATGGTTGAAGAACCAGTATACAAGATGATTGGTGAACCATCTGGGGATGAGGAAATGAAAGATCAAACACCAGATGTCTCAGTAATTCCCCCTGACAGGTGAGATGTTAGTGAATCTGAGGAAAGTTAGTGAAGGAAACATCTCAGTGCTTCATAGTGTCAATGCTGGGCCATTTCTCTCTATGGGATTCTAATTCCCCCTGACAGGTGAGCTAATGAAGCAGGGTAGGGGTTGAGGGCTATTACTGTAACAGATTAAAGTATAAAAAGAAAGGACCCCTAAAGTGACACTATAGTCACCAAAACAAGTTTAGTTTAATTTAGGAATTTAGCTGTATAGATCATGGTCACACTCTAAATTCGTTTATCAAAACGTTATTGCTGTTTTCTCTCTCCCTCCTTCCTGCGTTTAAGGCTCTATGACACTGTATTTTTTATGTTGCAGCAAAAAGGAAGACAAAATCAGACACTACATAGATTGCTGTTGGAATGGACTCTGTGACTTTTTAAAAATCTGCTGGTAATGAGATAAGAAATTAATTGCTTTATATCTATACTCTGAATTTCCATCTGTTGCATGTACTATGTAAAGAGTTAATAACACCATGGGACTCACCTCCCCCCTCCCCCCCTTCAGTTTATCCCATTTGTTCTGCATCTCACTAATCAATTCTTCATCCACCAGCTCACTTGCCATCTTTCCCAGGTCGCTTATCATTATTCCTATCTCTCCACACTCGCACCATGTCTCCTACAGCATTGCCAATCCCAGTTCCTTGTATGTACGTAGTGGGCATTGGATGAGATAACTCCTTCAAACCAACCATGAATCCCCCAATAACGACAGACACAAAAACCTGGATATAACAGGCCACAGCATTTATTAAAACAACCAAATACTGTATAATGCATCTAAACGTATAAAACCGCACATAGTTACATGATCATAAATTCACATATAAATAACGTTGCATAATGTCATACAGTAATGTAACCAAACATCCTTGACAATCTAACACATCCCTTCCCAAAGGCTCTTACCTCCCCCCTCGGCATAATAAATTCCTCTTCCCTTTTGGGATCCCCACCAGCCCTCTTTTAGCTCTGTAGGGACCAGACCATAATGCCCCCCACCAGCCGGCTTTTCGCTCGGTGGGGACACGTCGAACCTTGGACGCCTATTGGTTCACCATAAGAGACGGGGGAGGATGAGACCCGGCATTATCCCCTTACTCATCTACCTGCAAACCATCTCCTACCCTATCTGGCAAGGACATGCCCCCCGCCACAAACCCCGCTGGTTTACACCTAAAATCAGCAGGGAGCCCCACCCAAACAACCCAAGGCCTGTTCAACCACTTCCTCGATCGCCAAATTAAAGAGGGCATGCCCGACCTCAGCCAAATGCACCCCATCCGGTCGGAATAAAGTTGCTGCCTCCTGTTCCAAACCTGATGGCGAATCGGAATACCCTTAACCCCCACGACAAACTTTGAAACCTGCATCTTGAACATCTTGTGGCAATGCTCCAGGGCACTTTGGCTGTGAGCCTGCCCACAAAAGTTCCTAGCCACTACTTCCGACCAGATTATACAGGCGTCAGGGAACAAGATTAATAATTGGGACAAGTCCCTTCCGACCATGTCCACCAAACCCCGATCGGCGCGGTCCCCAGGTCGATGCCCCCCAGATGGATTACCAACACAGATAGCGCCTCTAGCAGACGAGAGAGCCTGACCAATTCAGGGAGGAGCCGAACCCAGCTCACGCCCCTGGCGCCAAACTACTGAACCTCCGCAGACAAAGGCGTAAACCGAGAAGCTCCCCCCGTCAGACTGCTGCTCGCTGCCATGTCCAGTGGATATAGGAGTGTCCGATCAACCAGAACCTGAGGGGAATGAGCCGGAGGAGGAAAACATTTAGCTCAGCAGACCGTCAGCACACACATAGGAACCAAACCTCCTGGATTCCCACCTATTCCCTATCCTCTGCACTTCTTGCTTTGGCATACCCAGGCGAGAATCCTCTGTCGCTGTGCCAATTCGGAAAGAGTGCCCACCAAACTCTGCACACTCCAAGCCCAACGCAGGCAAAACAACAAACCCTGACAAATTGAAAATGGCAGAGGAAGTTCCCATCTTCATGCACCAGTAGCAGGCCAGAGAGTGAGGGGCGAACCACGCAAAAGCCAGCTGAACCCACTTACCCTTCCCGAACACGTCAGCCTTGGAGCGGCGAATCTGTAAGGAAACCTTGTCCTGCCCCTCCCGAACATCAGAGAATAGGATCCCCCTAACGGTCGACCCGCTCGGACACACCAACTCCCCCATCTCCATGACCCCAAAGAATGCGAACAAAAAGTCAAAAAAACACACCAGCGGGAGCACCTGGCATAACTGTGCCAGGAGGGCACCCGATACCGGCCTCCTAGAATCCACAGAAATCCAACCCCTGTGCAGAACCTTAACCGCCTGCCGCACCAGAAACTGCTTGGTCTCAACCCTCCAGCCATGAGATTTAAACAGAAAGCTCAGCCCAGATAAGCACGAGGACACAGCAGAAGGCGACATGCCCGCCGTAACACAACTTTCCAAGATCTGCAACAGACCCTGCAATTGAGTGGGTGAGTACTGAAAGACCTCTACTTCCGACTTGACCATGTGCTTTTCCCTCCTATACCCTCGAATACCTGGCCCAAGTGGAACTAGACACCAATCCACAAACCATGTCCATCAGCTTGCCGTACCCCTGCCATTCCTCCGAGCAGGTATCAGCGCATCCCCAAAGCCGAGAGAACCCATAGCGCCCGTATAGAGGTGAGGATCCGAACTAGACACCTTGGGCACTTGCCAATAAGACCTCCCAATAAACGCAGCCAGGAAGTAATCCTCGATCGCCAGGTCATCCCGCAACTGCCGCATGAGCCAAATAAAATGTCTATGCCTCGCCACCCCAGTGGTCACTGCTGCCAGGCGCCTGCTGAACACCCGCTTCATGAGCTGTCTCTTTCCCAAGCCATCCCAAGCTGGGAGGTGGCCACCGCCACCTCCCAGCGCAGCCCTTCCACCTTATCCTGAGGCAAATGGCACTCCAGGTCCACCAAATCAATCTCGATGCTCAAGAAGCTAAGGCCCGACATTGGCCCCAATGTCTTATCATGAGCCAGGTGAACCCCAAAGCAGGCAAACACCCTGTCCACTGTGTCGAGCAAGATTTGACAAGCCTGGACTTTGCCGACCCCGCACACAAAATTCGTCAAGATAGAGCAGCAGCGATCCCCCGAAAGTGCCAAAGCATTCAAAATAAAAACAGGATATGGAACAACCCATCGTGTGGCACATATCCACGTAATCCCTACCCTTGAAAACACAACCGAGGAGGTGATGACAGTCCGAGTGCACGGGCAATAAGCGACACTCTGATTCAACGTCCGCACTTGCCAGCAGCGCCCCAGGGCCCGCCGCCCTGACCAGGCGAATAGAAGCATCGAATGAAGCGTAAGACACCTGACACAGCTCTGCAGAGATGTCATCATTAACTGAACCCTAACGCGTGAGGGTAAGACAAATGATGAATTAGGCTAGATTTCCCTGCTTTCTTCTTGCGCACCACGCCCAAGGGGGACACGCGCAAATTGGTCAGCAGAGGGACATCAAATGGACCCGCCACCCGCCCCAGCGATACCCCCTTCTGGAGCTTTTCAAGTTCCGAACAGCCTCTGAGAAGGGAATCCAGAACCCATGTGCAAACCCCTCCAGAAGTAATCCCGCAGCCTGACGGTTCCTATAATGGTCGAGCCAGGGGCGCTTCTTGTTTAGCCCTCAGGTCCCCTTAGTCCCCTGACTTAAACTGTTTAAAACAGCGTGAGGCCGAATGGTCACCACCACAATGGAAGCATTCATGCTTAAATATGATGACGCACCCCACTTGCATTGACTGTCATTGAACTTCCAACAACAGCCTGGTCGTTGATGCAAGGCCACCCCCGCTACCCCCCAAGAAAGGAAGACATCCCCCCTCTCTGCGCTGCAGGGCAAGACATGATGGAGAGTCACAGGTCAATGTCCAGCTGACCCCACGAGATAGAGGGGCGGACTGCCAGCCTTTGGCGAAATTGTTCGTCACGGCGCCACCAACCCAAACAGTTTCCTGATAGCAAAACAGCGCTGAGCAATGCTGGGGAGCCTTTTCCCCAATCAAGCCCACCAAGACGGAGAATGCAGGAGCCCAGTTCCTGAAAGTCTTAGGAATCTCCCTATAGTGAAAATTCTCCTTATCCCTATGCGAATCCTTCCCATCCTTGTCCCCCAGAGATGGGGCGTCCTCGATGGACAACAGAGAAAATATCTTGACAAATTCCCCTTCCCAGATCTTTTCCTGAATTCCGGGGCTTCAGATTCAAGCCCAACAGGCCCGACTAGCACATATACGCCGCCCCTTTCGCCACACCTGCGACACCCACCATACCCTCTAAAAAAAACCTGGATGCTTCCCCACCCCCATGACCACGCTGGACACTGGGGGCGCCGGCTCCGCTGAGGAAGCCACCAACTCACCACCAACCGCCGCCCTGGGATCCGAGCTTATCCCCACCCCTCCCCCACCCGCCGACGAACCTGCCTCAGTGACAGGAGGGGACCACACCAAATGCAGCTGACTATCCCACCCCTGGGACCCTTGCGCCAGCGCACCCCACTCCCACTGGGAAAGGAGATCCCGCAAACCTGACAGAAACACATCTAGCGCGGACGCCCCAGCCAACGCAGGAAAAAGACTCACCTGACGGGCGGCCCAGCTCCTAAGTGGCACTGAGGTCAGCTTGCTTTGTCACTACCCACTTCCTCACATACCACACTCCCACACATAATAAACAGCCAATAATGTTTCATCCAGCCCACACTCATACATGTGCCCTTGTCTGCTAAGCTGCACACTCTTCCTGGGGCCTAAACCCCCAGTTCCAAGGCAAAAACCATCCCTAACATGTAAAGCAGACCACAAGGTTGGTCAATTCTCCTCTCCAGCCAACGTACTTTTCTTTAAACACCAACTTCCTTTCTCTACAGGTCCCTATTCTCTGAGCAAGGGTTCCTCCTGACTTCTAGTGTTTTGTCTCTTTTCTATACTTGACTTACTGTATACATATTGTCTCTACAATCAGAGCACAGTGATTTTGCATCGAATTTAATTTATATTTTCTCCATACTCACTTTGTACGGTATACTGATTGTAAACCAGTAATCCTCATAATGGTAAAATTACGGATACATTTATCTTACTTCACAATAGTATTCCCCCCCACAACCACTTGTCTTAATATACATTTCCCCTCTAGACTGTAAGCTCACAGGCAGAGCTCTTCTTTTGTTTTACTGTCTAGTTATGTATCCCCTGTTTGTAGAATTACCAACGCCTTTATGTAATATAGAAAGCACTCTGGTTTAGGGTGCTATAGAAGAACTGTTAAATAAATAAATGGAAATGTATGATCTCACAGATATTATAATCTTCTTCAAACAGCTGT